TGACCACTGTAGATTAAGAGGAATGGAGATGCAGTTTTAGAGGCAGCAGGCAAAGGGACCACAAAGTATTTACCCCGACTGTGAAGGGGCAGCTCTCTTTGCTTTTTTCCCTACCCTAATTCTTGTGAAGCCTTCCTACCATAAACACTGTGGTGCTGCCAAGGGGCTTGAGAATCAGCATCGAGGGAGAAGGAGGAATAGAGGCTGCCGCCTCCTGATTGCAGAGCAGCCCAAGGTCTAAATGGCAACAAAACGTTATACATAATGTCTGATTCACTGTGTGGAGAATGTAAAGAATTGAGACCTCCCGACACAGTTTACATTGGCCCTTTTTATGACTAATTGTGCAGAAAATAGCTCTGCTTGTAGTGTGCATGGAAACAGTTCAGATTTCTGCTGTGTGTCAGCTAATGGCTAGCAAGGCTTTTTTAGCACAACTTCAAAGGCTCTGGCAATGGAGGTCCTTTGTGAGGGAATTATCTCTTGCTCCTTTGTACCCCGTTATCCTTCTAAGCCGTGGAACAAAGAATTGCGAAAGAATAGACAAAGTAATTTGTAGTAGATCTCTAAACCTAGATAAAGTACATAACATTTGCTTAAAAACATTTTTTCTGCTTCTGTCATCAAAACGTGGTTATAATTTTTCTGTGTAGGAACACCCAAGTTCATCTAACTTTTGAGGGATGCAACCTGATGCTTAGGTTATTGATGAGGGTCACTAGGATGTCTGAAATGGAAAAGGAGAGCTTTAGTTTATGTGGTCAATTAGGAAATATATGGCTGTCAAGAGCTGGCTGAGAGGTGTCTTTCTCTCTGCCTCAGGATATTCCATAAGAAAGGAAGAAAGTGCATTCTTTCAGCAGTGTGTTTGTGCATTGACGTGCTTTAAGGAAACCACGTATATTTCATGTATTTTTTTTACATGTTTTTTTAGTAAAAAAAAACCCTAATTGATGGTTTATTCTTTCTTTCTACCAGTGAAAAATGAAACCTTGGGGAGATAAGGAAACACATTACATGGATCTGCTTTCTGTAGTCCAAAACACGGTTCTTAATTAAAAATAAAAGAGCAAACCAGGAATGGAAGATCTATGATTAATGTTAGCAGCCATGGCGTATAATGTGTTCCTCCACTGTCTTCAGATCCTTGTCTCAAAAAAACAAGATGTGAGTGAAAGGAGGATAATCTTGGCCTCATCAAATTTAGTAAGAAACCCTCTCTTAAGTGCAGCAGCCACACTGACCACTCTACTGTGTTTGCATTTGTGTTTAAACTACAAAATTACTGTGTTTAGCACTGGGTCTTGTCCTCAAGCAAATCCCATTAGTATCTCCTTATCCTCAGAGGGTGGCAGGATTGCATCCACACCTGGGCAATTTTAATCTTAAACTGTTAGGAGTGGCTGCTCTGCATGTCTCCGTGCCCAAGTACACACTTTCTCTTCAGGTCCCTATGTAGAAAATCTTTTATGTCTGCTTTCTCTCGTTTTCCACTTCCATGGATTTCCCAAGGCAGCTGATGTTCTGACCTCTTGGATCCAGTTTTCACCAGCTGTCAAGATAAATTTGGTTAATACTGCAGGAATGGTTTATTCAGGTTTAGACTGAAGAGGGAATAGTGATGGAAATGCAAGATCATTCCGTTGCCTCTCTAGCCTGTCTGATAAATCTCTAGATGCACTAAATTTTCAGTAGTTACACACTCTTGAGGTTTTTCCCAGGCCAGGAAGAGAAATTTTAAAAATATTTAAGCAGAAGCATACATGCACATACACATATAAAGCTCATTTATTTCATATCTATAAATAAAAAATAACAGTGATGTTATAAAGAATATGACAGTTACTGCATACTCTGTTTGCACATATGAGCAGCCAGAGGCAGCAATTCGATGTTTTTCACTGATGCTGAGCTTAATTGTCTCTGATTTTGTTTTCATCACATGGACTGTCAAAGTATTCTGTTGTTAATATTTAACAAGTAGGTCCTTATCTCAAGTTGTTTGTGGCTAGGGAGAGTTAATTTGTATAAGATATTTCTCACATAGAAGATTTTCCTGGATTTTAAAACTGGAAAGGATAATTATTATGGACTTCACAGCAGGAGGCAGGCCAAGACAATTCTTCCAGGAATTCTTTAACCTTTCATGTTACTTTACCTACCTGCACTGGACGTCTCCAGTGCCACCTTTTTCCTTAAAACTTTCTCTTCCACATCTCTGATCCTGAGGAACTCCTTGCCATGAGATCACATGAATCACTGTTGGGAAATGTCTGTGTTGGGTGGATTCAAAAACAACCTTAATATGTGAATTCTGACTGGACAGAGACGTTAAGACAAGTAGAAGTCAGAAATCTTCGATCAGGTGGAGAGGATGCATTTACAGGGCAAGCTGGGGATGAGATGGGTGATAACTTACCCAGATGTAGGTGGGATAATACAAACAGGTAAATTTTAAGCAGAGTCTAAAGGTAAACTTTTGCAAAGACTTGCTCATGCCATTTCCTAGTAGTTGTTAAAGTTTCAGGCTCTGTTGATGTATGTGGAATGGAGAATTATTTGGGGGCCAGCTCAAAGTTGGATTTTGGTTTTGATTTTTTTATTTCTTTTTATTTCTGTTCTCTTGGTTGAACGGGAGCATTGAAAATATTTTAGTATGTGTTGGATTGTGGACATACAATGAAATAAATATTGTGGTTGCATGGATATTTGTAATTAAGATTTTAATTTATTTGGGAATCTGAAGCTGAGGGGTTTTTAATGGAAGCTGGCATTCCTTCCAGTTAGGAAAGGCAAAATTAAAAGAACAAACTCTGTTGCCATGCTGCCCACCAGATCACCAGTCCCAGCAGCTGGCAGCTTTCAGCATGGCATCCACACAGAGGGCAGGAATGGGAGGTCCAGGAAGTGCCATCTTTTGGTCTTCATCCATCATTTGAAGGGACTTGCAGGCTCTGCTGAGGAGCTGACATTGTTGACCAACCTACCATTGTGTGGATGAGGAGTCAAAGCTTTTGCATAGTTACTTTTTTCCCTGAGTTTAAAAGAGTTAAAATTGGTTTCTCTTATGCTGTCATCTTGTCAAAGATTTGCTGGAATCGGGACAGTTATTTACATTAAGAAATCTTTTGGCATTTCAGACTCTGGCTCAGGGAAAATAAAGTGGACTCGGAAACGTCTCGGACTCTGATACCTTTGACTTTGGTTCCTCAGTGTCACTTTGCCAGTGACAGAATGGGGACCTTTGTTTGCCTTGGCCACTGCATAAAAAAACAGGATATGATCAAATCCAGTTAATCATTCACAAATGTCTCATTTCTTGAATCTCTGAGGGTGTATAACACATTTTTGGGACTGTTCTTTTCTGCTTTGGCTTTTGTTATAAGTAAGTTAGAAAGGGGAAAATCAAATTTTGAGTGTTCTTAAAAGGAAATGGAGGAATCCTGGAACACACTAGGGCTCTGCAAATGTACATTTAATCATTTAAAGAAATGTCTTTTGGCTAAAAACTCTTACCAGCTCTTGCGAGTTGCACTCAAAGCCATGCAGCTACATCATTCCAACAACTGAGGCGAGTTAGCGCCCTTGTTGGCAGCGGGAGCAGAGGGATGCAGGCTGAGCAAATCCTGGGGCTGAATGCTCTCAAATTCTTCAGGACTTTGTGTAGGGTGGGCGAAGAATCCTAGGGGTGACTCTGCTGGTGGCTGCACCAGCGCCTTGCACAGCGGTGTCCTTGCAGGGGGCTCAGGCACCTCTTGCCTGCCTTGGATTTTTCAGTGCAATTTGGCTCTGCGGTGGAGCCAGGCAGTCAGAAATGTCTCCTGCAAACACTTTGACTGTGCTTCAGGCAAGCACACGCTCTCCAAGCAGCAGCAGCAAACCAGAGGAGTGAGTTCTTACTCCTCACAGTGTGGTGGAACTCCCTCCTCTGAGATGCCACAGGCACAGGGAGGCTTGGGCACATTCCTGGTGAATTGGTCTGTTCAGAGCTGGCAGTGAGGTGCAGTGACCTGGCTGTAAATGGGGGTCACCCAGCCCTGCAGAGCTGGAAGTTAATGGATATAATGGAAGAGGATTGTTCTGTTCTTCCTCCATGTCACTCATGGCTGCAGTTGGAGACAGGTTACAGTCCTATGTGGATTTTAATAAATCTGTTTGTGGACTTTTTGCTGCCTTTCTATATCCAACCCATCCTGCAGACAGTGTGGGACTCTGACAATAAGTTGAAAGCTTTGGCTGGATTACACTCCCTTATTGAGTCTGTGCCCAAAGCCCTTTGAGGGCTCCCATTGACTCTGTGGGATTTGGTTCAGATTTCAAGTATATGGGACCCCCTTAAGTAAACTCTTTCAAGGCCTGTACACACTGCAATACTTACTGGGCTCCTTTTTACTTCTGTGAATAGGAATGTGACCTTTACACTTCTAACAAAGAGCCCTGAATTACAGGACTAAATCTTTGTGTTTTGGGAGAGATAAGGTTACCATCCCAGCTCCTCCCAGCCCCACTGTGCAGGTGGCTGAATGGCTGATGAGGCAGTTCCTGAATCACTGTGGTTTTAGTCAGACAAATACTGAATGTGCATTACAGCAGCCTGAGTCTCTTCATTAGCAGATGTCCATGAGTAGTGATGGTCAGGGTTGTAAGTTGTTCCATTTCACGAGTCAAAGCCCTAGTAATATCCTTTTGCCACTGCAGGGTCATTCTGATCTCCATGTTGGAAATTTTTTTAATCAGTGTGCATCCTAAAAATGGTCACAGTGGAAGGCAAGACTAGCAACCCATCTAGGTTCCCTATTAGCCACCCAGTCCCTTGGCCCTGTGAGGGGAGGGAGGGATAAATGAGATGGAAGAAGAAAGTGTTTGGGCTGTATGCTGTCCCTTTCTCTGACCTAGCTTTTGGTACCCTTGACTCCCAAAGCTGCTGTTCCAACAGGAGAAGCTCAAGCAAGTGAGAGTAGTAGTTTGATTGACAGTGCTATTTTCTACCTGTATTTTAGGTCACTTCCTGGGTAACAACACTGTGATTGATGTACTGAGACAAGCAGGATTTGAAGTGGAGCACACCCCTCCTGGACAACCAATTGGAAAGTAAGCAGCTGCCCATAGATTATTAATCACTTTCTCTCCTTTTTTCTCTCCCTTTTTCTGTGACTCAGCAAGATTATTGCATTAGTATAGAAGGTGGGTGAGGAACCTCCCTTTCCCACCCAATTTCCAGACAAAAAGTGCATTGTAAAGCATCCATTGTGTGAGTTTGGAAACATATGGAGCCTGAATGGCTGGTGTTTTTGTGGGTTTTTTCCACTTGGGGACATTATTTATATCACAGCTGCTTCATTATACCAGCTCAGAAGTGCCATGGTTTCTTTAAAGAAACATTTCATTCAGCTCATTTTCCCCCAGAGCTGTTTTTCCTTTGCTCTCTGTGGGGTTTTTGTTGCTTCTCCATTGCAGACCTCTCTGTCAGGCTGCTTTTCTTCAGGTGGAATTTCAGTTTTTCCTGAAGGACCACATTTTATGTAGCAGATGCATCATTGAAAGTGTGTTGGGCAGGTAGAGAGCAATTCAGTATTCCCTGAGCTACTCCATATATCTGGTCAGGTAAAGCAGGCAAGAAGGACTGATCGATAGGCTCTTGGCAATCTTCATTAGTATAAAATAAAACATGGCACAAAATTGTCCTTAGTTGGTGAAACAGACTTTATTCATGCTGTAGACTTTTCTTTTCCCTGGCCATTTAAAAGAGGTCTCTGTCTGAAGAAATCACAGACAATAAAACCATGAGGGCTGGTGAGAGACCATCTAGCTTTGCAAAATCAGCCTTTCCCTTACATTCTGCAGATAAAATTTGGCCAAGGCTACTCTGTCATAGGATTGTTATCCTCATTAGGAGAAAGTGTTAGCAGCATGCTCCTGTCCCTGGTGGGCAGACATGACATGGTCCAAAACCGAGGTGAGTCTCAATGAGGAGGATTAATGGCAGAGGTAGCAGACCATGTCTGAAAAAGCTGCGTGTAATCTAGTTGGAAAATCTGGCTGATCTAACCTTGTTCGGAAAACATCCGCAGTGATTCATATAGAATATAATATGGCTCAACTGTACATAAGTGTTCTTTGACAGAGCATTTATCCAAAATGCTTCTTGGAATCTGTTGAGCAATAAAAGCATCGTCTTAAATAACAATGGGGGAAAGAGGAAGAAAAGGCTGTTAAACACCACCAGTAAGAGCATATATTCAGAGGAGATTTAAGAAGCACTTTGGCAGGAGGAGAAAAGTCAACATGGTGCAGGGAAGAGCAGTAAACACTCTAGCAGTCTGGAGCTGGACATTTTTTTACTAAAACCAACCAACCAAAAAAAACCAAAAAAAGTGAAACAGAAAAACCAAGCAAACTACAGCAGAACAGCCGAGGTGTACCATTCCTAGGTTTCTGACAAAGAAACTTTCCACTCAGGAAAGCAGACACTTTGTTCAGCAATTTTCATCTAGTTGAAAGTATCATCTTCCCATGTAAAGTGTTTCAACTGGAAATTGTGAAACTATTAATTTATTGGCTGTTGCTAGCCCTTGAGAAGAATTAAAGATGCAGTAGTGTGAGAGAAGTCCAAGAATAGTCTCTGCTCTCTGGTGTTAGGCTATGTCTGTACACATCATCACAGACTTGAAATAAAGGATGGGGCAGGAATCTTGACTCAAAGCCAGTGCTTAATGTCGACTTATTTGCAGAGTGGGGCACCTCTATGTGCACATTCCCCTACCCTGGCAGCAGTGTCTCCTGTTCATGATGTCTTCCCTAAAATTCTCAATACCTGGGGGAAATGGCCAGAAAAGCAAGAGGGCTTGGACTCCGCCTAGATCGATGTGGGTGTCCTCAGCTGAATGGTCGCACACTGGGTAACTTCTGTTCTGTTCTGTAACTTTTGTGTTGGGCAGGTTTGCCTGGACTAGAACCCTTATTCCAGCAGGGTCTGCTCTGAACATTGAACATTTCTGTGAACAGAACATCTCTGAACACTGAACAAAACTTTATTAAAGGGTAAATGGTTGTGCAGGAATACTGGGTAGAGTCAAGAGACAACACATGGTTGCCCCCCATAAGGATCTGTGAGTTTTTCTGTGGTCTGATCATAAGGTAGATCTGCCAGTTCTAGATGAGAATAAAGAAATAAAAATAAATTGCATGGCAAAAAAGTCCAAAGTTGCCACTAGACTGAATTAATCAAGGTGCAGAAACAGCAGAAAACTATAGAAATTGTGAATAAAGAGCATTTAAATATATTCACAAGAAACAGCTTTTCGCCTTTAGAAGAAAAAAAGACTCTCAAAAATGCACATCAAGGACTGTACTGTCATTTTCCTGTAACTGGGGCTGTAGCTATCAGAAGTGCTTGGGGCTCCCCCTTAGAAATGAGGAGGCTGCTGCAAACCATTTTGTCTCTTTTTTTACAGAATAGTTTGTATTTTATGATTTCTGGATGAGCTCCAAAAGACAGTCTAGCCAAACAGAGTACAACATCACAATAGCACGACAACTTAATAGTTGTTGTGTTGTTTATGTTTATGTTATATTGTCACCTTGCTGTAATTGAGTGTCTTAAGGAACTTTGCATTTTTATCTAGCCTTCCTTTTTTTACTCTTCTCTTTCCTTTTGAAAAGATTAAATAAAAACAACTGAAAGGCCCGGAAGAGGAACCATTTTGCTATAGTGAGTGTAGTAACAAAATATATACATCGAATAAACAAATAGAGGCACAACAAATTTCTTGCAAAGCAGAAATTGTTTTGTGGGTTACAGAGGTTGCAGAGATGGAGATGTTTTCATCTTGGTTCTTGTGGAGCCATACATGAAGAGGTATTTCTTTGTGCTCAAGCCCAAAAGAGACATTTCTGCTTTACTTCCAAATAAATTGTATAAGGGAGTCAAGCCCACTTCATTGCATTCTGGCATTGACAATTGAAAAATTGGATAGTGTTCAAGGAAGATCAGCTGGATTCTAATGTGGAGTTTGGGGGGGTGAACAGCACATGGAAAAAATGCAAGGGTTGGAAAAAAAACTGAAGCAGCTGCGAGCTTATGTTTTAGCTAAGGGAATTCAAGAAAAGTGTTGTGGACAGACTATGCAGAAGAATGAAGAGGAACAGTTCGAGCTGGCACATAGAAGTGTTTGGAAGTATATCAGATTGAATTTGAGGGTGCTTTTGCATGAATATCAATGACCCGACAGTGATTTGCAGGACAATTTCTCTCAGGTTAAGAAGCCCCCTTAATTGAAAGTAACTTTAGCAAAACACTCAGGCTATGTCCTACTTACTACCAGTACTGTCTTGCCAAAAAACCAAATGATCATTTTCTTTAATCTCTCTGTTCCCAGAACAGTATGATTATTACTATTATTGACATGATTAGTAATCTGATCTTTATTGTTCAGTAATATTGTTGATCTTTACTGTTCAACAATAATTCAGCAGCATTACCATAAATAGGTGGAGTATAGTCTGGTATGATGTTTAAACCCTGCCGTCCATTTTGGTTTTAGAAAGGACAAGAGAATCCCTTTTGTAGAAAATAACTAGCACTGTTCCTATGTAACAGAAAAAGAAAAGCCTTGGGAAGTGTGAAGCAGGACAAAGACCAAACCTGTTTATGCCTTCAGTTGCATACTGACTGGGTAAAGCCAGAAGATTGTTGGCTTCCTCTGTCCAAAACGCTAAGCATGGCTTGTGAAATGGCTGCTCTTTAAGCCAACCAAACTGAATACCTAGAGTCTCACATTTCTGTTGTTTAGTGACAAGCACAAATTTGAGCCAAATCCTCCCCTTCCTAAGGTAGTGGGGAAAAATAAAGTGAGATCTTGTCTGGCTGGAAGAAATAGCTATGACATAGAGGGGTCTGATGGCTCCAGAATCAGTGAACTTACAAAGAAAAGTTTATATTAAGTACATTTAGCTGGTGTGGAGCTATTTGGGAATTCTTACTGACTGGCTTTCTGAAATCTCCTGGCTCCTCCTGTTGATGTGCCTGATGGCCCAGTGTTGACCTTCCTGCGCCTCTTCCAGAATTCCACCAGCTGACTATTGAAAACACCTTCTTTAAAGCTCAATCCCTTTCTGTGAAAGAAACCCTGTTCTATTCATCATGCAGAACAATGCCATAAACTCTTGAGAACTTATTCTCACATTGGCTTAACTTGTTCATTTTGCTGCTTGAGGGAAGTGTCCTGAATCTGTTTGCGTGACAGCCTTCAGCAGCATTCATGTTTGCTTCTTCTTTTGCTGGCTGTCATCCTTGTCCCCAGATACAGGCATTGGAAAATTAGTGACTGAATCAATATCTCATTGCTTTGCCCTGAGATAAGAAAGGCAAGTTTGTTTTGGTTGTTGGGGGTTTTTTTGTTTGTGGTTTTTTGGGGTTTTTTTGGTTTTTTGTGTGGAGTTCTGCCAACTGGCTGTCCCTGCTCCTCTCTGTCTTCAGAAAACAGAGCTGCATGCTTGGAGTGGGAAAGAGGAGATGGGAGAAAGTCTCCCCTTAGATGAATTCCAGTGGCTTGAGCAGATAAAGGGCCACAGCTGCTTCACATTTAACTGGAAACAGCCAAAATACAAGATCAATCCAGGAAGCACCTGTGTCCATGATGACTCTATTGTTGCTGGGTTCTCAGAATCAGCTCTGACCTTCTGCCATGTGCCAAGCCTGGACATGCTGCACACCATCCTCTTGGCCAGAAGAGCATGCAGCAGTGTTCATTTTTATCAGGCTGCTCTCTCCGAGGATGGGATCACTGCTGCCTTCTTTCAGAATCAGAGAATTCAGGACGAATTTAAGAATTCAGCACAAGTTTTTAAGTCTGTTTATCTGAGAGTTGGAGAGTTTATTGTAAACTTTCAGAGTTCTGCTGGAGAAAGTAATTACCCTTGCTCCTTCTTTTTGCACTTCCTGTCCCTGTTGAAGCAATGTGTCTTTGCTGTTGTAGCTTACTCCTGTCCTTCTGTCTGAAGCAAAGAGCTTCCTCCCTCCCTTCTCAATAGCATCCTACAGGTGTGACCCTGGCTCTGCTACTCATTGTTATCTCAGGATGGGAGTCCCT